CTCTTGAAGAGCTAGTATTTGCCTTCTTTGGGTCTCCAGTGCATTTTTTTCAACTAAGTGTAAACTTCAATTACTGATTTGTTATGGTAATGAATGAGTAAATAATCAAAAGCAATGATTTTATACCTAAATTTCGGGATTCTGAAACTTCCAACTCTCTCTTCCTATGCAGCAGGTCAATTTCATCTGATTTTCGCAATCTGGAAGTCAAGCAACAATCTGCGTAATTTTTAACAACAAAATATGATTTAAGTAACAGCTAATTGATGACAGGAAACTAATAAATAACCTTATAAATCTTAAATGCCGGGCAGTCGAAGAATAGAGTTAGCCAATTGTCTAGGGAACTTTTTGAAGAGTTCATTTCCACTCTGTCAGAGATACGAAAAACCAACTCATGACAAAGGATTCTCCTCTCTCTACGAAATCTACTTCTTCCCCTTGACAGTTGTACCCACCCGTTGGTCTCTCACATAGCTAAACGGGAGCACTACGGGCCGGTGTTTTTTATCATACGGATAGACGAAGGCTTGTTGTCAGGCCTTAATTGGTTGAAACACATGCTAAAACTTTGCCTAAGATAACTGTGCAACCAAAAATAACAATGGTTTAGTTTAAGTAAACATGATAACACGTTACAAGTATGAATCCACGAAACTTGGATATATAATTAGCACCTGCACTTAAAAAAAGAAAAATGAAGTTGGTTCACAGTTTAATAAAAATTCGAATTCAAGTAGAATAAAGAAACAAGTGATGAACAATGGAACCATTCACTATAACTCTACCAACCTTTCTACCTCCATTTTGATAAATTCATCCAATTCCTGTTCTTTGGACAATAACTTCTGTTCTTTTTGTTCAAGCTGAGCACGCTGTCGTTGAATATCCTCCTGAAGGGATTTCTTCAGTCTAAATAAATGCACCATGGAATAATTTAATTTATTAATAGCAATAAATGCACTTTGCGGAATTCTGACTCAGCAGTCCCAATAGTAAATAATCGAGACAATAACCAAGGATTTATTTTGAGTCTGGACCCTATCAAGGCGCTTGTGATAAGTAAACACAAAACGTAGACAGGGAGATTGGTTTTGCACCGAAAAGACAAATAATTATCTCACCGATACATAGATAAAGGTGTTGATTTCAATCCTCATGCAATTCAATCAGCAGAAATCTAAACAAACTATTGAGGAACATATTCATAAATTTGGACATCCAAGCCAAGATATTTGGCTCAGTGCCAAAAAATGGCCTCCATTTGATGCAGAATTTACCTGGTCAAAACTATCCCAAAAACATGACGCGCATCGAAGAGTGAAATATTAACTATGAACATTTATGAGAAGTTCAGTAAGCATTCTGAAGTGAAGTGGTGAATGCTAGTTACATTGGCAGATAATAATGATCGTGATTTGGTTAAATACACTTAACCGAATTTATTTATGAAATCACGAATGGGTGCATGGAAAATCTTTGTTTTGAGTCTAGGTACAGACATAGGAAAAATGGATCAAATTATATACAAAACAGCTCTTTATGGCAGTCCTTCGTCTGCACTCAGCCAATGCGGTGCTCTACACCACGTGTGTCTGGTTATAGTTCCCAACCAGTGCAGTTTATGATATTAAGGAATTCTTTTGCGGCAGGAATTTCACAAAAGTTAATACTACGCGATCAAATATATGAGGAAAACAAATCTTACTTTCAACTCAACAAATCCAATAAAAAACTTTCGTGATTATGTACTTTTGATCCTGGTATTGCACCATTATTTGAATCAGAGAATTTGGGCTTAAATATTGCTTATTTCAAACAATGACTACTGAAATCATTTAATGAAAAATACCTTTCAAACTCAATTTCAGATTGATGGGCTTTATCGGCACGCATTCGAGTTGCTTCGATTTCCGCCGCTAGCATCTGGCGCTGAAGAAAAGCCGCACGTTCACACTCTTCTCTGTCATTTTCTAACTTTTTGTTCAAATGCCGTTCGCGTTCTTCAAGGACAGCTTTCTGGCCCATGTAAATTTCTTCAAGCTTTTATAAAAATGCGTTTAACAGATTTTATCATCAGAGCTTAGATTATATACGGAACAGGAACACTTACATAGGTCTGTTTTTCATTCAACAAGGCCATTGCAGAGAGTTCTGCTTCTTTTCTAATTTCATTTACCGTGTTTTGCTTGAAGTCTAGTGTCTGGAAATTAATCAAAATGACATGTCACAAAACTGAAAATCTTACACCGACATTTAGTGACCTGAATACTCATGTAACGTGACCCAAAAAATTACTCCAAATTTAAATAAGAATATAACAGTCTGACAGGGTATTCACAATACAATTCGCCGTAGTTTGCTTTTTAGTGTCGACTTTTGCATGGTCTGTTTTTTCACTAATGTGCGAACGCTTTGATGTAAGAGAATGCATAATGCACGAGCCGTCTTCTTGACTGTTGTGTAATATTGGGCGAATATTGTATAATCAGAACAATTACAAGTTGGCAGTCATCAAGTTGTCTCACCTTGATGCAAAAATCCATATGAAATTGCGCCTCCATTTCTTGGCGACATTGCTGTAATTTTTTCTCAAAGGTCTTCCGTACCACCTCAGCGTCTGTGATTTGTTGATTGCTAAATTTTGAGTCAAATTCATGGATTTGATTGTCTTAATAAAGAAACAAACAACTATTATATTAAATTTGGTTAACCTAAAAAGGATTTACACCCAATCATACGATGGCAAGAGACTCATTGTGTAACATTTAAAAAACAATTATACCCTTTTGTCTTCTAACGTGACAGCTAGTGAAACTAAAATAGATGCGTCACAATTGAATTGCCCACGAACAATCATTTTATTTTATTTCTGCAAAAATGGCCCCTAGAATTTCAAAAACGATAGAAGTACTTCAAAACGTCTACAGTGTAAAACTTATCTAATATCACAAGTTTACATAAAGAGGAGCATTTATAGTTGAGAATAAAAAAAACACTTCCAGGTCTTATGAAACTATTTCCAATTGACCCCACTTGATGGATTCTTAGTAGATAACACGTACACAAATTTTGCTCGTACATACCATAACAGAAGACTCTAAAATCAAATCCAGTTTGAATGCATTGATCCTTTGTAATAGGCATTGACAATGACATCAAAAATGATACAATATTCTGCAGAAGACTTGTAGAAGGATCTGACAAAATCAAGAGCTATCAATAATTGTAGAGATATTAACATACTTTGTGTTCATTATTGTTGCACAACTCTTTTAACTTTAAAGAATCTATTAGCTCTATTCTTGAAAATACCTACACGAAATTAGCGAAAAGCAAGCGTACGGAACCACTTTGCATCCCGGTTTCTGGAACGAAAACACTCAAAGAAAAAGAGAAGTTATTCATCTGAAGATATTCCAGACAGAGACTGTAAGCGATTTTGTCAAAGTTAGAATAATCATTGTTTGACTTTATTTCCCGCTGCTGTGATTGCGCAAAGTAAAGCTCTGCGATCAACTTTTGTCTAAGATTACACTTTAAGAAGAAATTACTCGAATTAACGTTAGTACCTTAAGTTCCTGAACGACCCCCTTTGATTTTATTGCTTGCAGCAGCTTTAATTGCAGTCCAGATGACGGAACAGTTACCGCTGGTTCAACCATTTTCATAAACGAAAAAGGAAACTCGAAATTCCGCGTACAATATCCGAATATTTGATTGGTTAATCCTGTTGACAAGATAATTACGTGAAACAGAAAAAAAGATGACATATAGTTTTTTTGAAATCACAATTTATGTCACCACAAATCCACGACACAATTAACTATTTTTTTCAAAAAGGGTCTATTGGGGCTACTCTTACATTAGCATAGGTTTAAACGTAACAACGTTTTCATTGATTTGATTTGTTAATGATATCGAAATATTACGCAGCTTATGCAAAGTATTGAGAGAGTTTACAAGATTAAAAAATTATTGCTGAAAATATTTGAATCACTTACCAGGTTCCAGAAAGGCAATCGGTGGCTTGGATAGAAACAAAACTTACACCCTGGAATTAACGTCGGCAAAATCACCTGCATATGAACTAATCGATAGATGGCGGATTTTGCTGCAGATTTTGCCCCAGGGAGAACATTGATTTTATAAGTGGGTATAAGGTTTAAAAATTAGTGTTGCGGGATTATGTATGGATGCTCCCTAGGCGTTAATTATTTATAAATAATGAAATGTGGAATTTCTGGGACAATTTTCTTCGATTTCTGCAATTTTCTGCGTAATATGACATGTTAGTACCTATATTATATAGGTGTATAATACATGTGCAGTTTATTAACACACGTTTTAAATAATAATAATAATAATAATGCCATAAAAGCCTACTCAATCCATTTTGACAGAAGACCTGGGGAATGGAATTTTTTACTCAATTAGAAAACCTATTTAGTTTGCAGAATACATAATGGAGAATATCCGGGACATTGCCTGAAGAAGACTGGTACAGGAGAACAACCTTTACAGACCACTCCCAAGGCAGAACCATACGCTATGAGCCGTCTATCCGCGTCCACCACACCGCTTATTATATACTGCTCCTCATTCGTGTCTTTCTCTGGTTGGCAGCATATCTTCCTCGCATGCCATTGAATCGCAGAGAGACAGAGGATTGGCTGAGGTCAACGCGGTCTAATATGTTTGCGCTTTTAAAATACGTCGCACACTCCTATATGTATTTGCTTTCGGAAACAAATTGGGGGCGGTCTGAAGTTGACACGTTGTAAGCCCTTAGGATGCCAGTCACCAGAGTTGTCATTCTTCTTTGCGCTCTATTTCTATATATTTGTTTTTATGTTTCAAAAAAGAAAAGATATTCCGATTGTACTAAAGTCACTCCTTTGGAGGTACCTGCTGGGACGTTCTCTCCTAATCTCTTTTAGACTATTATAAACCACGAAATTACTTTCCCGGATGTTAAAACTGTTGAAGAGCGGCTATCCATGCAAAAATTCGGGCAAATATTGAGTAAAATTAACCGAATCCGCCCGGTTGGGTCGGAAAATCACAGGCTTGTCCGCGAGGTTCGTTAATGCACCTGATTTATGACTTTTAGTTTATCGAACGTGAGCTCCATGAGAGAGGCTGGCAAGTTAGTGAAGATTCGTTTACTGAATCTACTGTTGTTGGAGAAAGGGTCTTCACCAACATAATTGCTATAAATAAGCCGGCCGCCTCCCGTCGAATCATTCTTGCTTGCCATTACGAATCAAAAAATTTGGATGGTTTCTTTGGAACCATTGATTCTGCAGTTCCCTGTTCCATCATCCTGAATATTGCCAGTAGCCTCGTCGATATCTTCCAAGCCTCCAAAGTTAGCGGCTTTGCAATTTGTTGCTCCATATATGTTCATGGAAAATGTTTTTGTTTAATTTGCTTCGCACCCAACGTTCTGCCTTTGTCAAAGGTTACTTTCGAGTAGTTTGGCTCATTTTGCGCCTTTGCAACTAAGTTTGTTTGGGTTTCCCTTAGTTCCACTTTTTTTCGTAATTGGACATTTATGTTGTCTTGTGAGGATTTTCATCCCAGAGCGTCAAGCAACTATTCTACTGACCATGTCTATTGACTTCAGGCCGACATTGCTGTGAATTTGATTTTTTTCGATGGCGAGGAAGCCTTTAAAGTGTGGACGGATACAGACTCACTATACGGCTCTCGTCATCTTGCTGAAAAAATGGCTCGCACAAACTCAGAAGGTTGCAGTGACCTTAGCAGGATTGTAAGTTCTGTGCTAGCCACCTTGTCCTCCCTTTGGCAGTTGATTTAAAATTTTGTCAATGTTTATTTTTGTATCCTTTAGTACGATTTTCATTTTCAATGGTTCATGGCTTTTGTGCCACTTCTGTTAATTAATCTTAATTTAGTTGCCACTTCTTAAGTTTCGTAAGAATATCGTCTTTCAGTGACCTTTTCATGACGAGTTTGTATTCAACTTACAACTAAGATTCCCAGTACCGATTTGTTTTAGGGAAATAATATTTCCCCCTTTTTCATTGGCTGCTGCTGCGTTCTTGAAAGGACAGGTCTTTCACACTTCGTGTTGCTTTGTTACTTAAACCTTATCGCTCGAGTTTGCATCGTTACCATAATTCTTATTTTAGGATTTATTTGTTCTCTTGGACCTAGTAGGAGCTGCTGGGCACCCATTTCCCCAGTATGTGCACTGCGATTCACGCATTTACGACATGCTTTCCAAAATAGGTAATTGGAATTTTTTGCCTGCTGTATCACGTTGTTCCGTATTTCTATATGGCACATGAATACGTCTTGCAGAGTTAAACCACTTATATGTTCTTACTTTTCTTGTTTTAGAGAATCTTTCTAAGCCGCTATTTTTACCCAGTACTTACGGATTTGGTGCGGGTCCCGGACGTTCATATTTCTCCTCTGTTATCCGTGACGACATCCAGGACGACCACAAACCTTTTCTCGACAGAGGCAATGCGTTTCTATCTTTGATCAAAATTTCGCAGTGGCCTTTCTCTGCTTGTCTTGTCATCTAACATGCTAGTTTAGGGCTCTTATGTAAATCTTGTGCGCCCGCTACTCCTACACCTCTTACCCGTTAACGTTTAACTAGGTGGAAGTCATCTTGGGGGGCGAATTAATCTCTTACGGCTTGCCTGTTGTAGAGTTAGAGTTGTAACACCTTCAATATTACTAGATAAGCCCCTAAAGTAATGGGTATATACATGCCTGGTACTGCTTTCAAATTAATGATCTCATTTAAAATATCTAACTGATCGGAACCTGTAGCTTACACCCTACATTATGTATTCCTTAGCTTTACAGGAATATATCAATATTATCGCCGTTCGTTCGCCATACCCTAAAGCATGACATTTGAAATGAGTTTGGTTTCAGGCGGTCCGCCGTCTCACCATTTTCGTAAAATCGAGTTAAGGATTTCAATTTGTGTGTCGCGTAGACTTGGTATTGTAATTCCTCGTGTTGTCCCGTTATGGTGTGCCGCGTCTCACACCCTTACTACCGTCTTTTTAGGTGTTCCAGTTCTCCACTTGATTCCTGCGCCCTTTCCTCCACAGTGGCATAAAACGACCGATACCATCGAAAATGTCGACATGAAATCAATACACGATATTCAATTAGTGGTCGCCACCTTCCTATGTCAATTCCTTCGAATTTCACCAAGCCAGATTCGAAGTTCTCCACATCTGTTATAATTGCTTTTAGCACTTTTTACTTTAACTATCAATACAAGGCACTATATTTTTACTAAGCTTGTACTGCATTTGATGAGCACGGGTGCGGTGGTAAGCATCGATGCTTCAGTGACAAGCACTGTAACTAGTAAGTCGTCGACTTGAGACGCACAATGGCTTCCGAAAAATGTGCTAGGAACCCTCCTCTAAGAAATCATAGCCAATATATAACCACGGAGACGACGCCGTTTGCCAGATCTAAGTGTCGCCAAACGTGCTAACTAAAATTGTTGCGATAAGGTGCGCGTAACCGCCCCGAAAATAAATGAGATAACTAGACCAGAGAATTAGGGGTTGCAAAACTGGGAGTCACTGCATCTACGAACGGTGTAGCCCCTTTTCACGTTTTCAGGCCCAAGTCCTAGGTTTCTCCATTTAAGTCCGGTATCATTGAGCAAGCCGACTTCAATGTCGAAAAAATACAGGCCCATGCCACAGGTGCGCTTATTCGGTTTAGCACAGTTGTCAATTGCGCAATCATCACACGTGGCAGTTAATAAAGTTCGAGTAGATACGTTGAGAGCATCCCTAGATTGCGTAAGTGAAGATATCTCATTCCAAGACATATAGTAACGAATTACCACTCCAAGCTTTGAGTTTTGCTTTTAAAAGCCCCACAACTTGTTTACACGAAATAAGGGTCATGCTGCTTCAAACCAAAGTGGAAGCAAGTGTGTATATTTCGACAAGGCGTACAAGTTCCTAAGACACATCCATAGTTTCTTCCAGGTCTGCAGTCACATGGTCGCTGGAGTCAATCAATAATCCATCTTCTACACAAAAAAGTTTCTTTAATAGGCATTCAAGAAAATCAGGGGGCTCATGTCCCCTAAACTTACGATCGACTATCTTCTTCAAATCATGAAGAGCAACAAGAAATAAGTGGAACTGCTTCTTACGAAGATTTATCTTTTCATCACACTTTTTGTTGATGTTCTCCAAGTCACTTAGTTCACGCTTCATTTTATTAATTTTCCTGAAATTTGGGGACAAGCATCAGACGAAAAATGCAGCTACTTGTATACATAAGAAGCAAATAGCAGACTTTAAATAAGAGAATACGATGCATTAACAGAAGGCTGACTAGTGAATATGAGAGCCGTAGATATATGGAACATTTTGACGCATTTCCTCGCGATTAATTCAAGAGACGAAACACTTCAAACGCCAGATTCAGAGTAAAACAAAATTACTCACCCCCAAAAAATTTGACAATCTCTACTTTAAGAGGTTTAGTTTTACACAGGTATGCATGTTAGCTATAGATAAAAAAGTTGGGACTTTGTTTATTATCGCCAATGCGCTATGGACAATACTACATTTATCTCGTAGAATAAAATGTAAGCAAACAAGTTGTGTAACACCACAAATTAGACTAAAATTTGTTAAATCTTAGGATTATTCAAAAGAGATTTATTTAAAATGCTAGTCAACCCTGACGTGGTCAGGAAAAACCGCTTTACGAATAAGAATGCTGGTGGTGATTAAACTAACATTAAAACCAAAACTAAGTAATGCAATAACACAAAGACAAAACTACTGTAATGTTTCCTGTCGATTAGGATATTCTTGCACAATTTTCGCAAGATTATGGTACTCTAAATAATAAGTATACCAGTTAAAAGAAACGAATACCTTGACGATTCTTGCGAATAACCCTAGCTTCCTTTAGACATTCTCGGTATTCATCTATCTGAGAACGCGTTTCCTCTATGGACTTGTCTAGTTAAACTAATCTACATAATACTTAAGTCTACCTATATCCTCCAAGAGTTTTGTGTACCGGTTGGATTGCTCGATGTTCATGATTTGAATCAAAAGCGCCTGTTCCATTGCATTTTCGCACTGAACAATTTTCTCCACCATAGACTGATAAGCGCCCGCACTAATCCGTGCAGAAGAGTAAGATAGGTACCTTATATCGCTAGAGTCGTCCTCAGAAGACCACTTCAAAAAATCCTTCAGTAGGAGAGCAAGTCGCTTATCATCCAAACCGCTTTCTCCTTCTAGTAAAAGCCTCCGCTTTATGATAGCATCTTAAAAACAAAATATTTGTTATATTACTTCATTTACCATCAGAGGGAATTACCATGACAAGCAAATGGGGACCAAATACAAAAATTAGACCAAGTCTGCAAAAGGCATGCAATTAATTGGCAAATCTAATTAGATTAAATTTCCGCCCAAATTTTCCATTTGCATTACTCCGAGATTACCACTGTTTAATTCATTTAGGGTAAAATTCGAAAATTCACTATCTTAATTCGTGTATTGGCAGGTATTAAAAATTTTATTTAACACTGTAGTACAATTTCATACAATTTTGTACTCTGCGAAGCATGCATGTGTAACTCAATCATACCATAGCATATTATGTACAAAGCATATAAAGTACTCAAATCAAGAATGACAACATTTAAAAAAACTACGTAGTAAAAAAGCAACTTCATAAGTCTAAATTTTTTTAGGAACCGAGCGAAATCCCGCTTTAAATTTATTAGTTTATGTGTTTATAACATGGATGTACCTTGGATATGTATTTCTGCTGCATTGCAATAGAAAGAAGGTTGATAATTTTTATCCAGATTCAAATGGAGTCTTGATTATCCGATAATCTCTGTATTATTAAAACTTCTAGGCTGGTGACTTTAGAATGAATAAGCTGGATCAGTTCAATATTTCTAGAAATACATGAAAACAATCGTATTGATAAATATCTAAAAGTTACATTTTAAAAAATAGCATTACGTCATTGAGTTTTTGTGCAAATCGCATAATTGTGAAGAATAATATGAGTCTTTGTTTTTAACGCACAAAGTATGAAATACATGTTCATTACTTCGTGTCATTGAAGAATGTAACTTAGACACATTAGCTGGACCCCTTACTTTTAAATTATCTTGATAAATTGATAATGAAATACCAAATAATATCTAGTTCATGCTGTTTACTTCAACTATGGACATACACTTTTTTTGCATAAAATATACGTATAATTGTATATGATTTAAATGCATAGTTATTATGATTAGAATTTAGAAAAATTAACTAATGTCTAATAACAAAAACGAAATATTAGGCATTCATAGTTATTTCTTTCTACAATCTCTGTATTCTCCTTAAAGGATCCTATATTTCCTGAGATGGTGGTTTAAAACCAGGTCGTTATTGAGAGATTCTTACAATGGAAATACTGTAATTTAGGACTGCTGCAAGAATAAACCTGCTAAAAATATTAGAGTTGAAAATTTAGGTGAATATTGGTGAGGCATTAAAAATTCATTTTTTTGTAATTGATTTTAAGGCAAGTTTGTTTTAACGATCATAGGTCAATTTTAGCGCCCACTTCTTTCACTTGTTGTCTTGGCGTGTTCTGCGCTTTTTCGCTGAGTTCGTCTCATACTCTTTTATTTTGCAGTTGTTTACCTGTTTGTGTTTGGGTGTGTGGTAGTTAATTGTTCATCAGTATCCTAATCAATGCAGATATGTTAGTTTTCCTGCTTGCCGTTACAATACTGAATTTTTTATTCTCTTGTATAGTAGCCCACTACCCCTAGCATTTATTAACGTCTTATCGTAATTTGTCTTTGAATAGCGATGGGTGCCTACAAGTTCATGCAGGAATTGTATCGTCACAAGCAGTCTGATGTGATGCGATACCTTCTACGATTGCGTTGTTGGGAATACCGTCAGTGCAATAAGACGATTCGTGTTAGCCGCCCCTCACGTCCAGATAAGGCTCGACGCCTTGGTTACAAGGCAAAACAGGGATACGTTATATACCGCACTCGGGTCAGGAGGGGTGGGCGCAAGCGACCAGTGCCGAAAGGTGCCACCTACGGGAAACCGACGAATGAGGGTGTCAACCAACTTAAAAATCAACGTTCGATTCAGGCGACTGCTGAGGTAGGCACCTTAATTATATCACATGCTTTATCAAGGATCGCGTTGGACGGAAATGCGGGTCTCTGCGCGTTTTGAATTCCTACTGGGTTGGAGAGGACAGTACATTCAAATTCTTCGAGGTAATTTGCGTCGATCCAAACCACCCTGCAATTCGTCGCGACCCTGCTATTCGCTGGATCTGCAAAGCTAACAAAAAACATCGGGAGCAACGTGGTCTTACGTCTGCAACTCGAAAATCTCGCGGCCTTGGAAAGGGTTATGGTTATAGCAAAACTATCGGTGGGTCCCGGCATGCTGCATGGAAACGCAACAACTTGGTTCAAATGAGACGAAGGCGCTGAATTTTCTGAATAAAGGCCATGTGGATACATTTGAACTTGGTTTTCTCATATCTGTGTGAAGGGTTTCGATAGTTACCTTGCCTGGGTCATAATTTAAAATCTGATGTCTTAATATGCCACTAGTTAGGTTGCTGCGCAATTGTACAGCACGCGTGTAACGGTACTGTGATTACCTACGCGGAAAACATCTAGCAACGTTTACGTGTGGCTGTGTTACACTTTGATAGTCGCCAATTAGTAAGGGAAGTCTGAGATCTTGCCATAATTGTTGGGCATTTATTCCAGAATCTCAATTAAGTTGAATCACTTTCGTTTACTGCAACAGGCTACTCTTCTTGCGCCGTTTTTTGGAAGTCTACTTCTAGACTTGGGCCTGCATCGACTTCCTTCTAGAGAATATTAGTCTTTGTTCCACCCATGGCGGGTAACGTACCCACCGATCTACAATCCAGTATCTATTAGGCACACTAGGTAAAGGTAAACGGTAATGAACGACCGTCGGTTATTCGGGTTCCCCCATTGTGCAAGTGTCGGTCTTGAAAATAAATTTGCATTGTTCATTCAGTGTAATTGGTCTGACCAAAATCAGTGTTTCGTTTGGTCTCAGCCACTGAGTTATGTTGCCGATAACTTCGGAGTGAGGTAGATGTCACCTAGTTGGTCTTTTAGGGGGGTTCTGTCCTTTCCCTTGCGCAGCCGTGGTCGGGTTCGCCCACTTTTCTCGAGCCAAATGGGACACTCTTGGTAGTTCATTAATTGGTGTATTGGAGGCTCGGGAGCCGAGTTGTTCCCTGTTCCTCTTGTAATTAGACGTCTTGGTCCTGCAGAATTTGAAGTGTCTGTCTTGCTTACGGAGCCACCTAACTTCCTTGGTACTGTCGTGGTGGCGTCGTCCTCTTTTTGTTTTTTGCTGACACCTTCGGCCTCAAGCGCCGCAATGTCCGATGCCGTCGTGCGTATCTTTTCCAGTGCGTCGTTAAACTCGTCCATTTCCATTCCTTCTCCAACATACCTAAGCAAAAATAAGCGAAACTGTTGTCTTAGCAGTTCTATGGTATTTTGTAGCTCGTAACAGAATGTAAATGTATCGCAGATTTAACCTCCTCTTCCGTTCACTTGCCAATTATTGTATTTTGTTCTCCATTTGTAAGCGTGTTCCTGGGTTAATTCATTAATGTCCGCAATAGGCCATTGGTCCCAACAATTGATAAATAATCTTTAATTTTGTTTCCTGAGAGTTCTCATGCGTTTTAAATATATTTGTGGAATTCCCGAACCTTCACGCTGATTTACATAGTTTTTGTCTGGTTTTCATCACATTTAAAGGTTAATTGTTCGCCTGTTGTTTGCAATGATTACGCTTTGGGAAAGTACATTTTTGAGAAAACCCAATACTACTTTATAGCCTGGTGTGTCACCGTCTCAGTACACATGTATTACTTCCCAGAAGGTATAGTAATTGTGGCTTCCCGGTGGAAATACGACATCTTCCAGGCTAGTTTTTCAACTCTTAAGATTCTGCATTTTTTTCTGATTGCTTGGTTAGATCTACTAATCGGTACACTTCTTTACTACGCACCTAATTTTAACACGTTCCAAATTATGTTGTGTTTTAGTTTAGGTTTTGTCTTGAGGCGAACTCAATTATCGGTATACCGACGGATAGTATTACTCTAATCGAAAGCATATATCGACACAAAATCTTTTTTTACGGGAGGTTTGATTTATTGTGAGACTCAAAAAGCTACCACTCGTGTTATTGTCTCTTGAATTTATTTTTTCATGAGATTCGATCGGCAGACATTCCTTAGCTTCGTGAAATGCTCGTAAACCTCGAAAATTGAGAATAAGTTGGTGTGACATAGGTGCAGTGAATCCATTTCCTACGTTTAAAAGTGATAAATGAGCAGAATGAGGGAAATGTATCTCGTGTACCGAGCTTGACAAATGTACCGTGTTGGAGGCCCTTAGTGGAATGTTTCTCTATGGTTTAAAGCATTGATTTACTCACCAGTGTAAAAAGGCTCGTTTGGAGAATAAATTGGTAAATGTGATTGCGATCCTGTTGAACACATCGGAGATGACCGTGTTATTCGTAATCATGACGAGTGACCTGGTAATTTTGTCTGGACCCATACCCGGTACCGTAGTGGGTGGCTGTGGTGTGTAAGCCACCTTAAACGCAGTGGGGCACCAATCGACGAGGGTTAGACGCTCCTCTCTCATTTCCTCAATCGTCTTTGCCACCTCAGCTATACTGTGTTGTCCCCTATAAGTGAGACACGTTGACAGTGTCACACCATCGTCCGGTATCGTTGAGACGGTCCGGTAGTCTGGCTTGAAAACCATATGTGTTAGGATCTGCGTCGTATACCGATTACGTTCTGCCTCCATATTGGTACAGAATGGAACAAGGGTGACCATTGGGTAGTGGATAGCAGGGAACGGAATGAGATTCGTGAGGTATTCGTTAATATTTGCATTTAGGTAACATTTGAATCTCATTGTTGATGTTACGCCCGCCACAACTGGACCAATGATTCGGTTAACTGTGGTGTAAGTTGGACGCAGCACTGCTAATTCTTTTGTGCACATGTTGTAGAGGGCAGAATTATCCAACATAATGCTAAGGTCGCAGTGATCAGAGGAATGGTAAAGGTGGTGGACACAATTATACACTTCGACGGGTCCGACCGCAAGCTGGTCCGAAGGTATGATGCTTAATTGCAGCGTGTGACGACCGGCAAATTCTAGGCTAGCGCGTTCCTGGAACATTGATAACAGTCCACTGCCAGTCCCACCACCAAGCGCGGAGAAAGCGATTATTCCTTGAAAGTTTTCGCACTTTTCGATGAGGCGACGTGTTGCATTGGTCAGTGCTCCCACAGCCTTGCCCCCGAGGGTGTAGTAGCCGCGGGCGAAGTTGCCAGCAGCGTCTTCCATACCAGCGATGAGGGTTTCTGGGTTGAAGAGGTTTTTATAGGCACCATCGCGAATCTCGTCTACAGATTGAATAATTAAAATGCCAGTGTTTAATGTGTTTTAGTGAGAGGCCATTATCACACACACACACACGTGTACGCAAGTTCGGGGGACTCGGCTATCGCTACGTCCAGACGCTGCCAACATGCACCCATTATTTGGGCTTTGTTTGTCCTGTCAACAGGATGTTCATCCAAGTTAATAAAAAACCCTTTAATTGGGTTGGATCGGTCTTTAAGATTTTGCGCTTTGGGTGACCCTCACAATCTGTTATTTATCAATTTGAACAATATTGAGATGGAATACCCAAATCAATGTGAGGAACCCAAAGCACCAAATGATTTAGTCCACAGAAGAACGGTTGGAAACGCTGCATGACCTATGTACGGTTTGATTTAATACGCAACGATAATTATGGATTTTGTTAGGTAAGGGAAGTTGACTGGTATAGTTGAAGCATTGTCCGTTTTTATGTGGCATTTCGAGTAATCTAGTTCATTAATGCACAATAGTGTATTGGCTGCAAACAAAAAAGCAGACAGGATAATGAGCTCATTGTTGTCTTTGTTCAGATCGAGACTTGGCGGGCGTATATTGAATGAAATTGTAACACATTCATTAGAATGAGATCTTTGGAATGACGTATGCTAGCTAGATTCCGCTGTTTGGGTCTCACATTCTGAAGTCTCGGTTGTAAGCATTCTGGTCTTTGTCGTATTTTTCAAATTAATATTCTTTAAGATCTAACGTTTTGCATTGATAGATTTGACATCCGGACAAATCTATGCTGAGTCCATTAATCACGGTTGATATTCCAAGTTACAGCAAAGTTTGTGTGGTATGAAACATATCGATTGGGGTCAAATACTTTTCAATACAAATGTCTCAATATTTGTGTCAAGAGTAGTTCTTGAAATAAAAAGTCAACGACCGAGCAATTATGCGAGAGTGAGGAACTTGTATGAAAACGGGAACAATTGCACGGAAAATGAGCAGTTCACATGCCACGAATTTCAATGCTGTCAACGGCAAAACGTCTCCAAGAACGTGACCTGGATGTAGAAAACGGACATTAGTCCACCGAAGGACGGCTTAGTCTCATTCAATTAACTTGACCAAGAAACACCTCAAGTCCGGTGGTTACATCCAGAGCAAGAATGCTCTTTTTAGTCCACCCATTCACTTATCTATGGGGTTTAGACAGGTGTTAGCCACCAGGAAGCCATATTTATCAAGCAAGCATAAATTAGAAAGGTTGTCAACTACTAATACGTTTGAAGATCGCCGCGTTCCCATTAGGCAAGATATTAGTCAAACAGGTGAGGTAGTGTTCAAGGACTCCATAACCAACCCTATTTAACCAAACGTTCTTAGATGAAGCACATTAAGAATTCAACTAAGTCGCTACGCACTTACTACCGTTATAAGATTTATATGCTCTGGGTGGCCATTAATTATGGCTAGTAATCAGTTTGTAGGTTGTGCTATGGTCGTCTGAACTGCTTCGAATTTGCCAGTATTGCCAAACGATGCTCCCATTCATAAATCGAAGTCAGGTCACCTAAAAATCTACGTTTCTCCACACCCACTTGATCGTGACATTGAAAAGACAAAAGTAGGAACATCTCCCATGGTTGACGGTTGGTATTTATCTGACTCAAACTACGTTTCTTGGAAATTAATATGTCAAGTAAAAATGTCAACTACCACAGCATTGTTACAGAAGTTTGAACGTTGCAAATGGAATTGAATTCTCCATTTCATTGAACATGCCTACGAGCATTACCATTCTAAAAGTTCCCGTTAATTTATTTTTGACAATTAAGAGTTACATTTTGGGTGTTAGGGAGCTTAATGAGTCGGCAACTTGGTAATTTATTCTTATTATTGAAAGTTAGATACTGCTGAATGTCAAACAAAGGCTATACAAGGGGAATCTTTGAACCAACTACAACAGGGGATGTTAAATTATTGCAGCTGATCTCGATTTCGAAATTATTGCCAGAAAAATAATTTGCAATGAGGTACCTGCGATCGAAATCCCCAAACGGACACTAGGTGGTAAAATTAAAAACGGAAAATAACTCGCGAAAGCGTATTATTTTCGAGATTACGTTACACCGCCAAGTATGTCAGCTTGGATTGTTGAAAAAATTCAAGTCCACCACATCTAATCACCAACTACGTGGCTTAATTGATGCTTAAACGGGTCCAAATGCTTAACGGTTAAATAGAGATTTTACGAAAAAATTGTATGAGTGTGAAAGCTTAATTTTACCTATCTAAAGTGCTAGCATAACTTGAGTGGTAGGTAACACACCGACCATCATCGGTAGCGGATCCGAAATATACTAGCGCCTTACTAACAGACAACGTTTTCAAAATAAATTCGAGTGTGGTTTTGTTTCCAGACAGTTTGAGGGTTTTGAGACAAATAAATGGAATGAACATCTGTGTCCCTGCTAAAAATGCATATAAATGGATAATGGAAAGTTGCCAAAGCAAATTTAACTTGGTATCAGAAAGTAATGCAAACACAAACAGTAAATCCACTAATCTTTTTCGCGTTCTGTTAGCGACATTCAACAAAACTTGGTGTGCTCAAAAATAGTGGGGAAAATATATTTACACTGATTGTAAAGTAATTGTAAATACTCAGGTAACAGGAGGCCAATTTTGATTTTTTAAATAGCTTGCATTATTTCACAAATATTGATAAACCAAGATGTGTTACCATCACACATTCGTGCAGTAGCCACCTCATTTATTATTACCAATATTAACGACCTTATTAATGACACGTGAATCCCACTCATACAAAATTATTATTCGGAAAATGTTTAATTGGTTCAATGGAATTGACTTCCTAAACAGTAACGGATTCTTGCCTTCATTTTCCAGAGATATACAATAGTCTGTGTAAAGGTGTCCAATTACACCATCATAGCATGACCCTAACGAAAACATTACTGACATATTGAATATTCCAATACAGCAAAATTAGTAAAAACCAAAGAGACGAATCGAAACGGAGCAGTCACACAAGGTGAGTATGGGCTCAGACGCTGTAAATGGAAATTAAATGATATCGCTTTATACGTCTAAGTTGAACATTTACCGTTTTCGCAACCTACCAATAACTGAGGGTTCTAAATCAGCCAACACAGCACGCGGAATGTAGACATCTCGAGGAGTTAGCTCCTGAAATACAGTATTCAGTTCATTTCGCTCTGTTAGTGTGGGATCGTATTGAATTGTTCCGTCGCGACTAATGCCATGCTCAAGGCAGAACATTTCCCACACAGCACTAGCTATCTGGACGCCCGCCTGTCCTATGAAAATAGAGCACAATTCCTTCATTTTTAGGTCTTTTTGGTTCTATCACCAAAACTAAGGGGCGGATAATGAAAATAATTTTGGAGTGGTTTGTTGCCTCTTATCGGTTCTTTATGGAGAAAAAAATGTGGGATGCATAATCTACCTCTGCATGCTTAAAACCGGAAATAGTGATACAGCCAGCGTTTTATTGATTTGTGCATTTGAAAGACACGTGCTTCTTTGGGGAGCGTTTAGTGACTCACTTAAGGAAACACAAATTATCCTGCTTCCTGTGCACTTTACAATCTACTGTGAGTAAATACTGTTAGTAGAGGACGTTCCAAATTTTTTACCGTGCGAAGGATGAATACTTTGACTAGACATTTTTGCATTCATATAAATTTTTACGCTCTTATTCACATGTAGATTCCTATTTATACTGTTTTTTTATTTCATTTGCTATTTACCTTTAGTCATTCCAAATATTCTCTGCATGACTTCTACCTCTTATTATCCTTAAATTTATTTCTCGCACAAAAAATATATCACCATTCTATCAAAGGATTCCAAATAATACATTCTTTCATCGTTTTCTAATTATATATTTGCCTTACGTTATTGTTCACTCTTGGTGGTAAAGAATAGTTTGTGTTTTCGAATTGCCATATATATTGTAATTCAGAATCCACGTAGTCACATATAAAATTGTTGATTTTGTAAAAAACTCAATTTTCTAACGAAAGCTTAGTCTTATAATGTCAAAAATGAGTATTACTGTATATCACCGTTTCTCAAATTAGGCGAATTTCAATAAATATTTACAGTAAATAGTAACCTGAAATAGGTCTTACAATTTCTACAACTTTTTGTTTATTACTATTGCATTGCATGATTGTGGGAACTATGTGACGAAGGAATTCTAGAACCGAATAGAACGTTACAGTTGTTTTGTGCCTCTAAGGCCTATTATCATGATACACATCATTCTTTTGCCCAAAAACGAAAGATTTTGAAAAAAAACTTAAACTGTCACCGCTGTAGCACTTTATTGTCATGAGGTTGGTACATAATCAACAATAAAGAAATGCTTCACGACTATTTGGTGTCATAGTTTATCAGAGGAAATATTTACTTGATATTAGGCACCACGGCTTTTCATTGGCAAATTAATGATTCCAATGATTCTAATATTGTAAATAAGTCGGCTAAATTAATTCAATTAAGTTCAGTATTGTCTTAATCTGGATCAAGTTTCTATAAACAGATTCCATTACAGTTTTCCATAAAACGCATTTAAGTCTAGTATTACCAAGGGATGTTTGTCGATAAAGAATTAATTAAATGACAATTGATTGACGATGATAATGCACTACAAATAACACCTCGTTATGCACATATTACAGACATGATTCATTTCATAAATAACGACTCTAATGATTAAAAATGGCTCGACTGGTAGTTTTTAATATCTATCTTTAGGTATCTTCGCATAACTACGATTTTGCACAGCCAGCGCAATTACCAGTAACATGTAACGTGCGAGAGGTGATTCGACCTAAGAGAAGAGATGAACTGCCTGTGAGTCTGCACGAGAGACATGGTCCATGCAAACACACGGAGCATGTCATGGGACGAAGACAGGAAACTTCTTAAAGAATTTATTTGGAGAATGATTACAAGGTGAATAGAGGAGAAGGAGGGCCAACTTGAAGACAGAATCCGAGGGACAAGCCAAGATCCATATATTAACTGTTTGGCAAACCTAAAAGCATATAAAACTAGAAGGAAGTTACCAAGCATGAATAGCGTTTGATGGCGTGGAAGGTGGCATGCGTGACAAATGCATAATTCAATTTTCCACTGTTGCTTGAATCATAGATGCTAACGAGTAGCCAACTTCTGAAAATATACATGTTACAACCAAAGATTAAGTATGAAATCCACAAAATAACCATGACAGATTTTACTAACTGTGGCATCTGCGACTTCAGTCTGCTGTTAAATTCTTAGAATATAACTATGAACAACCATTTTTTGTTCTAAAGAAAATATCCATTATTGGTTATAGGTTAAAATTTTTCCATTGGATTATATTTATTATTTTACCTTCCCTTAAAATACTTCCTCATGCATAGGTCTTGAGTGAGATAAATTTAGCCTGAAGCATCACTAATTGTTCACCAATTTAAGAGTTAGTTCAGTGCTGCAATTGTACGCAATGCCTTTTTTCAAGAAATTGACAAACCATTTTTTATTTAAAAATTATGCATTCGGACATAATTTGCAGCTTGAAACAAGCAAATACACTGTGTTATACATTAAGTGTAGTGCATCAGAGAATGAATGTCTTTTTAAAACCATAAAAATTTACTCAAGTTATAAGTGTACTGCTCAATACTATGTATTTATATTTCCATGCAGACGTTTCTGATTTCTGAGCAATTTAAACATGTGCTCTTAGTAATGAATGGCATCAAAATAAATTCGTTGTTGGTATTTTTCGTTAAATTCAGTAAAATAAGATGCATTAAAGGTTTTTTGGCTAACAATTTATATTTATACAGCAGGTCGATATACATATTTACTAGAATATTTACAGTTAATTTATTGTCATATCTGTTCCAACACTCTTTAATCATTGAACAAAAAATGCAAAATAAACGAATATTTTTATTAAAATATGAATTAGGTGCTGGTGGAGGTTTGTTATGCGGCCAAGATGCGCATGAAAAAAGCAGCAAGCTGAAAGGTCACTCCAATAAACAATATGTACTCGGCGATCAATTTATTTAATTCCTATTTAGAGGCCGTAAGTGATGAATCCCTAAGTGACATTTTGATAAAATTTAATTAAAAATTGTAGTTGTTGAAAACGTTTGTGAAGGGATTGGAAAACCCCATATATGTCTTACCTCACCATCCTAGAGAAATACATTATCTGTAAGTAAACCTAGCACTAATTCAAAGGTGCGGTTGTTTTTAAAAGTTAAAAATGTCAAATTTATATTAATTTTTCAAATTCAGATTTTATTTAACAAAAGAACAATGCAAGAGGTAATTCACCACTTGTGTTTTTTATACCGTTAGTGCCGCATGATTCAACATACTCTTTATTCGTGTCTTCTACCAGTTCGTTCTCAATGTTTGTCATGTTCGGTTTTCACCTATTTTTGTCGTTTGAGCTTGTGTGCAGCATTAATATTGTGTCCTATTTACCGCAGTATTAGCAATTATTTTGTAAAATAGAATGTTGTCTTTATGCTTTTTCCATTTTATTATCTATGCAATTTAACATCGCTATGTGGTTTTACTTTCTATGAAGCACTAAAAGGATGTGTCTTCTTAAATGTAGTTTGGGTCAAAACTGGGTCTTAATCATGAAATGCGGTGTCATTGACACGGACTATGTGCTTGCAATTTTAAGGAGTTATGTTTTAACTTGCACTTTATTGCGTCTCAAAGTACCGCAACTTTATATTTTAAGACAACTATGGTTTTTCCTTTTTAAAAATATAATCATCGTGATCTCTGTTACAGATCGTAGTTTCATTCTTTGGACCTAAAATGCTAATCATTTGCAGAAGTCGGCCGTCTTCTGTTTATGAGTTCTTTTTCACATTTATATGTGAAAATCAGTTATTATTTAGTGCTTTTCTAATGCATAGGTGGATCGTATGCCCTAATCTAAATGCATCTTCAGTGATATGGTATCACCTAATCCTCAAAACCGGCAATTTCCTTGAAAACTTTGGCTTTAATTAATTTACCTACGAAACGTGGAAATTGTCATTCCTAATTTATCCACACTTGAGTATTATGCTATAATGTTCAATGATGGTATGCATAAGGTTAAAGCGCGTTATTCTTTCTTCTTGAAATGCTTTGATGCATTCTTTTGTCATTATATTTTTCTTCTATATGCATACATCCCGTTACGAAACCTGACATCTCCATTCAATGTGTGAATAATTAATTGTATCCATTTATCCGTGTTTCTTTTTGCCATTCATACTGTATTACGCATTTAGTCATTCGCAGTAAATGTTGAACTGATTTTCCTGTCACCAATGTGCTCTAGAGCTAAAGAAATGGCCACAGAGGTTTTGACGGATCTTGATCCTCCTAAGCCTTCTGCAACATCCCCCAGTCTAGATGTGCCGTGGGTAGAAAAGTACCGGCCTGTTCTTCTGTCAGAGATTGTCGGGAATGAGGCTACCGTGCAGCGTCTTGAATCATTCTCATGCAGCGGCAACGTGCCCCATATAATAATTGCGGGACCACCTGGCTGCGGTAAGACAACCAGCATTCTCTGTCTGGCCCGTGCTCTTCTCGGCAATTCGTACAAAGATGCGGTGTTAGAGTTAAACGCTTCTAATGACCGTGGCATCGATGTCGTACGGAATCGAATCAAAATGTTTGCTCAGAAAAAGGTTACCCTACCACCCGGGCGCCAGAAATTTATAATTCTCGATGAAGCTGACAGGTAAACTCAAGTTCACATCTTATCAAAATTTTTATTTTAATATTTTAATACTCGATATTTCTAACGATTCATACTTGTTTACGTCAGCCGTTAGTTTTCGTATTTTACGTACATGTATTTGGCTTTATCTCGCTCTATTTACCCATCCTAATCCTTATACTAATTTTTAGTAGTTGCTTGTAGGAAAATTAAAATGTTAGCCCACTCTCCCCTTCGATTATGGCTTTCTAGTTTCCCATTTCAATACTGTGTTCGCTTTACCTCAGGTTGAGACTTGACCACTCTTGAATGTAGCATTTTTTAAAAATTAGACACTGCAGTATTTTTCAACAGTTATTGCTTTATAATTGTCCGCTTTGGTTGATACTGTGTGTTGTCTGAATCAATACTTCAGTTCACTAGGTGCATTGTTATTTTATGATTATAGATACACGTTTTGCTTTGTTTTCTTTCAAGCATGACTGAGGGTGCTCAACAGGCTCTGCGCCGGACTATGGAAATTTACTCGAAAACAACACGCTTCGCACTGGCCTGTAACGACTCTTCTAAGTTGATCGAACCCATTCAATCCCGGTGCGCTGTGTTACGCTACTCGAAGCTAACTTCAGTTCAGCTTATGACACGGCTACTACAAGTGGCGAAGGCGGAGGGAGTTGATTACACAGAAGAGGGTTTAGAGGCTGTTGTTTTCACTGCTGAAGGTGATATGCGCCAGGTTAGTAATGATTTCACATTGTACACACATGTCATGACGCGCTTGTCGAAAGCCTTTGCGGAAGCTTGGAGTGATGATTGCTAAAATAACTACTTTTGTGGCCACTCGATCATCACGGGACATTCCGATACGGACTTTCACGGTCTTATATATTTAAATGTGTATATTAATTCTGGTAGATTAGTCAGTGTGTTGTATTAAGAGAGGCATTAGTGCTGCTGCACAGTTGGCCTCTGTCACTTGACAGTCACACTGGAACCGACCTTTCACGGTTACCAGAGAATACGTAGCGATGTGTCTAGATGTGGAGAGACGACGACTTAGAATGGAGCGGAGTCACTGCACGTAGTTCGGCCTGTGTTGTTTTTGGGCCTATACAACACCATCTAGTGTGTGGCAGGATCAGCAAACTGGCCGTGATGATTCGCGTGCTGTCTCTAATGGTTTTTCATTACTTTGGAGTAGTTTGTTTTGCTGGAATCTGTTGGGGCTTTAAAATGACATTTCAACTATGAAACAATCCTTCCGATTTTATTTTTACTATTCTACAGCACCGAGCTCTCTCTTCACGAGACAAGGGTTCCACATTTATTTGTTGCTGATTCGTGCGGTCTGAAACTCTGTCCACGTCTTTGCGAGATTTCGCTCCATCTTTGGGATGTTAAGGCACCTATAGAATGTTGTTAATTTATATAAAACGTGGCCTCACCTGATGCTTTCACATGCGTTAAAAGGGAAGGATTTTTAGTTTTGTTGAAGCATGCAGCTTTAAATGTTTCACTTCCTTTTTAGGCACTTAACAACTTGCAATCAACCCATCAAGGTTTTGGCATGGTCACCAGCGAGAATGTTTTCAAGGTAAATTGTATTTTTGTCTGGTGTCCGGTGTGTCAGATTTATGGGACAGACAATTACTCACCTGCCTCGCGACGGTCATAAAAAAGCATTTACTCTCCGACGGAAAACATACGAGAAATTGCATGTATACAGTATTCATTAAATGTATGATATTTCAGATGGTCATGAAGCCTTGTCCCCTTCAATTCTATATCAACTGTCTGTTGCTGCATTGAATTCAGCATTGTAGTTGGTGTTGTAGCAAAAAATAACGCCTGTTGTTTAGTTCCATCGCTTAACACTGATTTTATTCTCTAAGAGTTGAACTGCTATAGGCCATCCCACTCTCTACCTGAGTCAAAAAAAATTTTTGTACTTGGCAACCATAACCTGAAATAATGTCCATTTAATTATTCAACTAATTCAAATGATGCGTAAGCTTGCATACAAATAATAATAATAAGCTGGTTTAGAAAGCTGTTTTACCATATATGTATGTCTAAAAGTTGTAAAAAGGGAAGGCAAGCCTTGTTTTTTTTAACTTATTTTATTTTGTATTGTTTCGTCACGGTTATAGGTTTTTTCATTTTCTGTTGTTAGTATGGAGACGCATACCTTAGCATTACGTATCTCCGATTTAATTTAATAGTTTTTATGATTTAATTAAGAATTATAAATGGTTATAGATTTCATCATTTTATAATCGTGTAGAATCTTTTTATCATGTTGTTTTACTTGTTCGTTCTTGCGGATTGCTATTTGAAATCACAAGTCTCTGGCTTTGTTGTTGTAGTAATCATTTATTATTCTTTTACGCCATTCTACCTTTTAATAATCGCGGTTTGTATTTTTGAATATTTGAAATCTTCTAATTTATTTTTTGCTACGAAGTTTTTAACCGCAATTCTAGTTTTAGGATACCGAACTCAGTTCGTTTTCCTATATAAGAGATTTAAAGTGTATTTAGTAAGCTTTGTATGCAGAAAGGATAGACGAAACTAAAGTAGTGGTAAGCTTAGTACGTAAAATGGCCAATCATCATGGTTAAATTCATCTTTTAAATGTTCTAGTCTTATATTTGAACTGAATGCTTTGGCTTTTGGGCATGTATACGCTTTCTTTCTGACTATAATTTACTTACTTACCCTGTGGATGAAATTTAGGGAAAAATAAAACTTGTTAACGCAGGAAAGAGAATAATGTTTTCTGCACTCGCATTAATTGCTTTTTTTCAAATCATTCATGGTGTACTTGTCCACGGTATGAATTCCGGGTAATCAAGGAGACAAAATCCCAGTTGATCTTCCTGTTAAAGCAGGTTGTTTATCGGTTTCCTCTTTGACAGTCGACAGTGCTGTGGGACTGACGGTTTCCGCGAATAGAAATGCTGGCCGCTAGTGTCAGGTGGATCCAGCTTCTGCACACGCATAGCAGTCTATTATCATTGAATATCTATTGACGTACTGACCAGTATAGAAATGTCCCAGGGTTTCTTACGCACAAAAATTTACCAAAAATTTTGTATATCAGTCCCCTTATTTATAACTCCTCCATCGTTCCTGCTTCCTTTTAGGGACATGGATCTAATTGATCAAGACATATTCTTCATAACGCACATTCCATCATCACTAACCGCAGCAGATCTACGCCGGATATTTTCTCACTACGTCGAAGCTGGTGCGTTTGCCTGTTTTCACTATCGACATAGACCCGAATCGGAAGGGAGTGCCTTGATTCCCCCCAAAATGATTGATGCTGATGTGATGCTAAGTCTTCTAAAAAGACACCGCTCACGCAAAACATGCACCTGTACTGCAGTTATAGCCGTCAGGCGGGAACAGACTGAGAGACTAATTGCATCTTTTTTTGAGTCGTGGTCAACAGATGAGCTTTCAAGCCAGTATTCCCCATGCAAATTATACAGAGTAACCTGCACATTATCCGACTTTAATAACCTTGCAAGTAAGTGGGTACTCTTAGTATCAATTCCTATTTTTGCTTTTGTCGTTACTCACATTCCCATGTCCTTACCTCCTAGAGCTGATTGAATTCACACCACCAACATTTATGCCTCAAGGGAATGTTGGGACACCCTCCTCCCACTTTTTTTCACTTATTAGAGCTTGTCAGCTGAGTCGTAACATTATTACCAAGCTAAAGTTGTGTTTCTCACATGGTACGCATCACAGGAAATATGGGAGCGTTCCATATGACTATTCTGATGTCACATTAGAAGCATGTCTCGATGAAGGCGAAAATGTCGAAAGGGGCCAGTCACGGCTCCGGATTAAGACTCCAATATCAACCGGACTTACTTTTTCCCATCCCACAAATTGTGACGAAATTCCGGAAGAGTGGGACAGATTTGAAAGTCTCCACGTCGATCCCTACAACGTCGATAGAAGTGCCAACCATTCTCTAAAATATGAGAGCAAAGTGGAGCTAAAGTGGGAGAAGGGAGGTCCCGGCCTGGTTCATTACACGGACGAAATGTTCTGGAGGGAACGCGAGAGTGTAAGGAGAGATGAATTCTTTGACGAGCCTTCATCATTTGACTGGGACATAGATGTTCGACACTACAGTGATGACGAAGGTCTGAGCTTTCTAGGACCCGGAGGACCCGACCTCGACACTCAACAGCTTGCTCAGATTCGAGACGTTAGTGGCGAAAAACCATTTCTCTCGGTAAGTTTGTACTAGCTTCTAATAAAAACTAAATTTAATCCTTTGTTTAACTGAAAAACCTTTTTAATAGCGGTATGCCGTCAGGGTAATGCAGAAATACGGGTGGCATCAGGGGACCCGCCTAGGTAAACGAAAGCAGAAGGGTCTGTTGCGACCAATCTCTGCGGACGACGGTTGCATTTCATTGAAGCGCTCGGGATTTGGCTTTACAGAAAAAAGGCGGCAGGTCCTCAAAAGGCAGAATGCCTCCCAACCTACCGGCGGTGCCTACATACGGTCAATCTTCGACAGCCCCGAGACAGTTGCACTACGCAGCGGAGCCACGCATCTGCAATCCCATCACCGCACCAATCCGTCCCTTCAAGTTAAATATCGAGAACATTGGGTCAGTGAAAGGAATCGCTTAGTTTTATACAGCGCCCGCGCTCCCCGTGGTTTTGTGGGTGTAAAATTTCAATACGGCGGATTGGTCAATCCAACGTAAACCCAGAATCTCTGTACAGAATTTATTTGTCTTGTACAAAATATATTTATATCAAATCTCTATTTCCCTGGTTGAAAAGTTGTCTTGCACAGACGAGCTAAAAGTCCGGCGAGTTGGACTAGGGTTCCAAGACCCTCTGCAATTCTAAGGTGAATGAGGCCAACTTCCTAAAGGGCATAAGAACACAGATTATACTAGGCGGAAAAACGCAGCAAACAACAAAATCTAGGTCTTACCTTTATATATTCTAGCTTGAGGTACTCGTCCATCTGGTGATTTTTTACAACGCGGAATAGCATTGAGAAGATGTCCTCAGCAGAATATCCCAGGTTCCAGAGATGCTTTAGGATCTTGTATGCCCCCGAGAGCTCACTCTTGAGGCAGTGGTCGACCATGTTTTGGACCAGCAGGGGATGAGGTTCGTCGCACACCTTTAGTGGTCAGGAAGTGTTTCAATATTACGTCTTGAGATTCGCGGTTCACCATGACATTCACATCTTTAGTCAATAACTATATTCGCAGGGCTGTTCACAACCAATAATGGTAAAACGCAACGCTGAAGAGAATCATGTATAATCCGTGAACACGAATTTCACTTCGAGCATAAGAATTGCTGTCGAGCACAACCGACCACACAGGATTACAACTACGTCGTAGTGACGCCTTTGATAAGTTGCAAACGATAGTATTCAGCGTCGCCGTGCCTATGCTCAGCGTTGTTACGTCAAGGAATGAATCGGGCGGCTGCTCTGTCTACAAGTATCACCAAGCCCGAACATTTGATCGTAAGCTTCAGCTGTGACGCAGTTGACTTTTCGACCTAAATGTAACTGTCTGTAGTGGCTTCCAAAACAAACTTATTATTATTTGTATGCAAGCTTACGCATCATTTGAATTAGTTGAATAATTAAATGGACATTATTTCAGGTTATGGTTG